CTCATTTACTTGCTTTTACCTGCCATTTCGTCACTCACCATCTCAACTGGATTCAACTGGGCAAACTGGCTTTCTCTTCAGCCACAGCCTGCTCTGGAGATACTTTGGTTTGTAGCTTTCTTTGCTCATCCTCGTTGGTCTATACTCTTCTGGTTGTTTTCCATCTTTTAGAAGTGAATTCAAAATCTTATTCCCTCTTGCCTTCTCAGGTTATCTTCTGTGTTGTGGGTATATATTTGTTGTTTGTGTACTTTTATTGTGACAGAGTTCTACAAAGATGAGAGAGAAATGTGTTCAAACTGCCATCTTGAACCAGAATACTGTGCTACACCATTTCTTTTCATACTTTAAAAGTCAGAATCTTAAAAATAAATTAAAAATAAAATAAAAATAAATATATAAATCAGAATCTTAAACAAAAGTTGAATTCTTGTAGGAAAATACAGTGACGCAATAGACTTGCTTTTTCTTCTAATGCAAATTTCATAGTGTTTAAAAGACTGTAACCAATTTGGTTATTTACCTTTCTCTTTAGCAGTGTTGCCTAATCTATCATTTTCTTCCTCTAAATCTAAATCATCTGTAATTTTTTTGGGTGGAGGGGGATCTAACCCCGCTTCTTTGTTGTCTTCTTCACAAGAGTGTACTCCAGTTAACAACTTACTTTAGAAGTGAGAAAGCTAAAGCCAAATAGATTTTTCCCTTGTGATTCAAAGACTATCCAAGATTCCTCAGTCTGCTCTAGGCCTCCAAAGAAGAAGCTGAAAGACCTGCAGCTTCCCAGAATACCAGCCTCACAGATCTGAGGCAGAGCAACTCTGAAATTGGTCTTGCAGAAGTAGGTAGAGCTGGTGTGGTTTTGAGTTGGAAGTTCTATTTAGGAGTACACGTTACTGGGCTTAGAAATACCTATCTCACTCCCCTAAAATATGATTTCAGTTTTGTTTACTTTCCTGTTCTTCATATTTGTTATATGCCCATGAATTATAAGTAGCCAGAGGAGAGACTGAATTAATTGGCTGAAATCTAACACAGCAAGTAGAAAAAGCAAAACAAATAACATGTTTTCCTGCCTGTTTGCAGTTAGCATCTCTTTTCATTTTTCCATTGTTTTATAGAAAGTTTGTTAGACTGGAAGAAAATAAAGAACTAAGTTGGGGTCCTCACTCTGCTCTAATTAGCTCTGTAACTTTAAGCCCCAGTCAATTTGTTTATAAAAAAAAAAAAAAAAAAAAAGGGAAAATCATGGACCAGGTGGTTTCTTAGATTTTTTTCCCCCCTAGATTAGATTAGATTTCCTAGATTAGAAAAATCATGATAATGGTCCATTATTTCAGCTCTTCTTTGTCTTAATTTTTGAACTTTTGTTTTTACTCCTCTACTCTTTTACTCTTTCTTGTTTCAAGCTCTCTAATACTTCTCCTGCTCCTCACTCTCCCCCGCCTATTTATCTTTCCAGCTCTTTGTTCTTTCTCCTTATTCTGTTATTATTGTATAGTTTTTCCTTTTCTGGGGTCACCAAGACTGTTCTTAGAATGTGATATTAAGGCATGCTTTACGGAAATAGAAAAGGCTACCTTAGTTCAAAATTTTACTCTTTCCTAAAAAGGTACATTACTGTAGTATCACAGAAGAATTGATAGTCCAGAAGCCATGCCTGAGAGAAAATGTTTTTGAAATATTTTATCTTTTGTTTCTGATTTTTTGTTTTGCTTTCTTATTTTATTTTATCTAAACAGAGAATGGATATTCTTTGAAGCTTAATCATGATCACAACTGATGAACCCAATTCTTCCCAACATTCTGTAGAGTATTAGAAGATTTTTACATTTTGAAGAAGGGGAGACAAATCTAAAAAAATATTTGGTTGAACTATTGAGAACTAACATATAGTGGATGATGCTGATTTAGAACTTAAATAGAAGGGTAAATTTGGGGTCAAGATGTAGGTCTCAGTCCACTGCATTTTGAATATATGCTTACTTTTCAGGTCACATGAAGTTTAACAAGTAATATTCATGGTGTCTGGCTTTTGATTTATCATTTGTATGGTGGTCATAAAACGTTAAAAACTATGACTGTTGCTCTTCCCATGGGTCTATTAGATATTATCAGATATGTAGTAGACAGTGCTGTAACTAGATGAAAGCTACAACTTGACACATAACTTTGCAAACACAATGAATCTAATTATAAAATACAGTAAAACTATTTAGCTAATATTTTCACATCCCAAATTTTCCATTTTATATTCTTCTCTAGACATCTGAGCTTATAAACTGACCCACTTGGGTGTTGTTTTGAATGTCTTATAGCTTTTATGTCTATCTAACTTTGGTCAGTCTGGGGATTTCTATCGTTGGCATCCTTGCAAATGGCTTATGTGCTAACTTCTGTTTCAGTTCAAAGAAAGCCAGAAGTTAGGGCTTGTGCTGGTCACAGGCCAATGGAAGTTACAGTTCGTATCAGGATGACCTGACATATCCAGGTCAGACTGACCAGATCAGAAAACACATCAGTCTCCAATTCAGCCTCTTTGGAAATTCCTTCTTAAATTTATTTACACTGAACCACCCAAAGCCTCTGGCAGGCATAGAAGTACACAGTGATGCAAAAGGGGAGCTTTTCCAACAAGTTCATGGCAAGGGTAGGACATTTCTCCCTGGAAAAAAGACCCTTGCTGTTTCTATGATGCTAGCATACTAAGTGTGTTATGTTGCTCACATTCAAAATAAACCAAAGCCTCTGTTGATGAACCTAAATAATATTCAGATTTAGGTAAAGACAGATCACTAACATTTAGATTTCACTCAGAGTTTTATTTGATTACCAAAAAAGACACTAAAAATGAGGAGCGATGTGTCCTTTTCCCCTTCATTGACTTTGAATAGGTATCATTGGAATGTAAAATCAAAGTGTGAAATTATGAAAGAATATTTTTTAATTCCTACCAGCTGAATACATACTTAATATGTTCCCAGACTGTTCTAAAATCTTTTAAAATTAGGTGCATATAATGGTTAAGATTTTGTAATGAACATACTTTTAATAAATATTTGTGACCCATTGATGAAATATACCTCAATAATATATGGGTATGTGATTTCTTATTAATTATCTTCCATCTGGATGCATTTGAAGACATATAAATTATTTGGTACCAATAATTAGTTACCAGTTGTAAGGTTTTAGAGGACATGAAATATGCCAGAGCCATCATCTGAAGAACATATATGAGTCTGCGTGCTATTGGCTATTTGTGTGTATTTTTTGTTTTCATGTTGATAGCATGTAATTCCTTTATTTGGTGATCTTATTTTCTAGGTTCATTTAAATTTTAAGAAATTCAAGACACACAGAGTAGCAAGTTTAAGAAAAAATAATATGAGAAAATAAATATTTGAAGCAAATCATAAAACTAATGATAAATTTCTGTCAGAAAAAAAGGCATAGGAACAGTTTTCATATATTATGTTCATAAATAACAGAGAAGGTTGTGTTAACATGATATTTGTCATTATGTAGGATTTTAATATCTATATAAATGTATTCCATTTTTTATCATATTTAGCATTTGGTATATTTATTCTTTATGGTTATAATCACAAATATATTTCATTTAAGAATTTAGAACTGTGCTAATGAATTATGTTTTTATATGAAATATATTTGCCATTATGAAGAATAGTTGGGGATACTGTTATTTCAGGGAATAAGTTTGAATTCATTCTGGTAGTTTAAAAATTGTAAAATTCAGGGGCATGTGGGTGGCTTAGTCGGTTGGGCGTCCGACTTCAGCTCGGGTCATGATCTCACAGTTCGTGAGTTCAAGCCCCACATCGGGCTTGCGCTGACAGCTCAGAGCCTGCAGCCTGTTTTGGATTCTGTGTCTCCCTCTCTCTCTGCCCCTCCCCTGCTCACACTCTGTCTCTGTCTCCCTCAAAAATAAATAAACATTAAAAAAATTTTTTTAAATAAAAAAATAAAAAATAATTGTAAAATTCAAAAGGTCAATCATATGTATGTTTCACAAATTGAACACATTTTCAGTAGCACGTCCTTTAGTTGCGTTAATTTTTGAATGTGATGTGTCCACAGTGTTCTTCATTTTGCACTTATTTTTCAATATGTTTACATTGTATAAGTTGAGCTTTTTACACACAGATTCTTGATTTGTAGCTGCTTGGCAGGATTTTTTTGTTGTGATGTAACCAGCATTCTTATAAAAGATACGATGTGCATTTGTTTTGTGTCTTTGTCTTCATTCCACATGTTCCATGTGTATTTTTATGTGAAGTTATCTATAAGGAATGGTGACTTAAGAGTCTGTGATCATCTCTTTTACCATCATTGTTTTCAACAAATTGGTGTTCCTGTCTTCTGGTGATCTTAAGTAGATTTTCAGTATCGTGTAAGTCAGATTAGTCTCAACAGTCACAAACAGTTCGCCTTTACATCATATCTTATGTCATGGCGTAGATACTCTAATTACCTTTGGACTAGAGGGTTTGTTCATTTGATTTTATTTCAATTACTTTTTCATTTGAGGTTTAAATTTTTCAGTTTGTGGAAGCCTAATTTGCTGTAAAACATGAGGAATTCTTCAGAAGATATGCAGCAACCAATCTTTATTGAGACCTAAGCACTTTCAGACCCTCTCTAATTTATTCCCCACCGCAATGCCAGGAAGTAAATATTGACAGAACACATTTTTACAGATGAAGAAACCAAAAGACAAAGAAGTTAATGTACTTGTCCATGGTCATAGAAGTGGAAGGACTCAAACCAAAGTCTATCTCATCCCACTTTAAACACTAATTTATATGTCTCTCCCTTATGATTTTTGACATACCCGTTTCAGTCCAAAACTAGTTAATGTGTGCTTGACTTATGTCCTTTGGTAGTAAACCTTTTACACTTTCGTTTCTGCAATGATGTCGTAGTGAAGAAAAATAATAATAATAATACAATTGAGCGTTAAAATGTGTCTTTTCTTTTAGCCAGAAACGTTTGAGCATCTTTTTGTCAAGCATACAGAATCAGTGATATTTGGTCCTCTTCTTTTGGAGCCTGAAGCCATTTCAGAAGATGTCAGTGTTGACACAACATGGAAAAATAAAGATGACATGGTGCCAACAACTATGGTCTCTCTACTTTTGGCAACTCCGGATCTTGAAAAGGGTTCTATTTGTATCAGTGACCAGCACAACAGTGCTGACTTCTCTGAGCTTGAGAGCAGCGTGGTAACCTATGAGGATGAAAACAGGAGACAGCCCTCTGTTAGATATGCTACCCTACTCAGCAGCTCTAAATCAAGTGACATTGATGAAGAGCAAGGGCTTATAAATAGTTCAGTCAGCAAATGCTTCTCTAGCAAAAATATTCTGTCCAAGGATTCTTTCTCTAACAGCTCATGGGAGATAGAAACCCAGGCATTTTTTATATTATCAGATCAGCATCCCAATATAATTTCACCACACCTTCCGTTCTCAGAAGGATTGGATGAATTTTTGAAACCTGAGGGAAATTTCCCTGAAGAAAATAATGGTGAGAGGTCTGTCTATTATTTAGGGGTCACCTCAATCAAAAAAAGAGAGAGTGGTGTGTTTTTGACTGACGAGTCACAAGTGTTGTGTCCGTTCCCAGCCCATTGTTTACTCACTGACATCAGAATCCTCCAGGACACTTGCTCACAACTTGTAGAAAATCATTTCAGTTTAGGAACTAATGGTCAGAAGACTTTTGTATCTTACATGCCTCAGTTTCAGACTTGTTCTACTCAGACTCGGAAGATAATGGAAAACACAATGTGTGACCTAACTGTCTAATTTCATTCAAGAAACATCTCAGATGTATGTTACAGTGAATCATATGAAATGTATGTAATACAGTCCACCATGGTTGTGGATATGGGAGAGGAAGGAAAACTGTTAGAGTCAAACTTGAAAGTGAGTGTTTCCAAATTAAAGGTATCTGTCATTGCTCAGTAATATTGACAAAAAATGAGAGAAAGTCTTCAAGAGCCTGGCAATGTAGACTGACTCTTCTAATGATTTCATTAACAAGCTACACTAGGAAGATCTCCAATGGCTTGTTTCTAGCTAGAAATGAACCCAACAAATACCATGTTTGGCGAACATTAGACCTGTGTAGAAAGAGCTAATCTTCTCGACTATACCTAAGTTTAAAAGACACTGTGGGATGTAACTTGTTTCAAAGGTATGGTTGTTTTATCTTGAGTTGTCTTTGTTTTCAACTGATTCACACGCGCGCGCACACACACACACACACACACACACGTCTATACATAAGAGGCATCCTCGTACATTTTTGAAGTATGTGATATATTTGTATTTGTGCCACTTGACTGTGTGATTTTAAGATTTTGCAATTTAACAAACTTGCCTTGAGCACTTACTCGTGGTAGGCAGTCCGCTAAATGTTGCAGATTTAGATCTGGCCTGGGGGATATACTTCTGAAGACTGACAAGTAAGCTGATCTTTATGTATCGAATATAACCATGCAATGATACTACCTATCAGAATGGCAATACTAGAATACAAACAGTATTTTGATGACAACAAAAGCATTTTGAAAACATAATGTGTGTCTTAACGCTTCCCTATAAAATATGTTGCAAGGGTTGCTTTCTGATACAGTTAGATGACTAAATGCTACTGTATATCACTCTGGAATTATTGTCTTCCCTGATTCCAACTTGCTTGTACGCTGTTTTTTTTTTTCTCACTTCTCTTTCATATAACCACCCACTGTGTTAAAGCTTTCCATATTTTATCTCAATCAATTATTAAAATAATTGTATGAGACATGTACTACTATAACACCCTTATTAAAGATTAGAAGATTAAGTAATTTTCCCAAGGACACAGAGTTAGTGTATAATGGAACCAGAATCCAGATTTAAACCCAGATCTTTTAATGCTAGTGATTATGTTTTAAACCTATACCTTACGTTGCCGTCCATTAAAAAAATGACTCACAAGCAGATAAAATTTGTTAAGTGGATATATAATCCTGGGTGAAAATGAAGTGAGAATTACACAGATGTTGTTTTTGCCTTTAAAGACTTTAATATTTCTTGTTTGTTTCAGTTTTTGGTATGGCAAGAAAACTCCGAGACAGCATTTTGAGCAACAAACTAATCAAGAAACCTGCAGAGATAGATGTTGAGTGTCAATAAATAAGAATTTCAAGATGATCAGTATAATCAAAATACATACCTTAGTACTCAGAAATATGCCTATTAGATTGCTAAGCATCACCAGTTTCATACTTGGCCTGAGAGAGGATCCTGCTGATTTTACTGTTACCCTAGATAAAATCCTACACTCCATCTCTATTCTAGTTGTGGCCATATGAAATGAGTAGTTCTAGACAGTGACAAAGATCTCAGGGCCCAAACAACAGGTATTTTTTTTCACACTTCATGATCATTTGCCAATTAGAAATCAATAAAGTTGTTTCATGCCATAAGGATTGTTGAGATATCTCAGGATCTCACATACTCATCAACAGATAGGTGACTCACAAGAGAATGGTAGAGGGCTCACATCAACTCACTGAATTTTGAGTGTGGTATGAAAGCCTTAGTTCTATACAAAGATAAATTGAGAGAATACATTTTTTTCACTGATGTTTTAAGTGGTTTACAGATTCAGAAACAGAAAGAAATTATTGCATGTATGGAAGTTCTGGCCAAATTGACCATATTTTTAATGCTGCTCATAGAATATAGAAGTTGTATTGAGGATGCAGTATAGAAGAATTATATTTTGCTCCATTCTGCATAAAGTTAGAGATTAAACAATGAGCATGTCCACTGAGACACAACATTTTCCTGTGGCCTGGGACCCATGACTATATGACTATGGGGAAGAGAAAGTGACAGATGTTCCAAACAGCCTATGATTTCACCATGCTATGTGTATGTGGCAGTGAATTCAGAAGTCCCAGCAACAGTGTAGTGCTGCAGGTCTGAGTTAAAGGAATTTAGTAACAATATATTAATGAGATCATTGATATCCCGGTGCACAGTTCCAAAAACAAATGAAAACATCTCAAGTAGTGAAATGCCAAGGGAGTTGTTTTCATGGAGAGGGCTGAATGGTAGAGTTTGGCCTATTGGTATATATAGATTTAGATCCTATCTGTTGTCAGTGTGTTAGGGCTCTGATTTTCACTTTTGAAAGTTTGTTTCACTGCATATATCACTATACATTATTGGGTCTTTATGAAAATTATCTGTCATTAAGTAGTGGGTTTTAATAAAAATATAGGTAAATTTAGAACATTTTGTACTTCAGGATGGTCTGATATTTTCCATTTCTTTCCAAAGATTCCTTAAAAAATGTTTTTAAGGAGAGAAGAGCTGAAATATGGATTTGCACTTTTAAACTTAGGATAAATCTGGAATTTGGAGTATTTCTCTTAAGGCCTTGAATTGCAACACAAGTTACCAGTCTCTCTAAATCTGAACTTGATGAAAAGAAATTCAGAAGTTAATAATTTGGGATATGGCCTCAAGGTTCAACATAAGACAAATCACTTGTCAGGGCTAATGAGATTATACGTTTCCTATGTTAAACCCCCTAAAACAAAGAAGAAAAGTCAAGGTGTGGTTATCAGTAACAGCAGGGGCCTCCCACGGAGCCCTGTGTTCCCATTTGGAGATGGGCTACATATGGACAAGAGGAATAGGAACAGATATTCTTTCATGTTTAAGCCTCGTCTCAAGTGGTAAGAGGACTTGGATGAAATTTGCAAACCAGTGGGTGATTCTGGACCTATAATAAGGTTTTATGGCACCGAGCATGAGCTGCGTTTATCTTCTCTTCCCTTTCCAATAAAACCAACTCCCTCTTTCCAAATATCAAACATATGGTCACATTCCCTTAGGAATATTCACTTTGACTACACAAATGCTGAGAGAAGAGAAACTTCCTTCACAAACTGATGCCAGATTCCAAAACTACTTTGGTTGGCATGGGATACAGGGTAGGCCATCAGAGCTGTGCCCATGGGGACCACGTGGGGTTGGACAACGTGCTAAATGGATCAAGACATGCTGCAACCATATGTCACCTAGACATGGATGGAAAAAGACCTCTTGCCAAATTCCTTCCTGTAGTTTTAAAAAGAAATGTGCTCCACTGTTCATCTTTTGAGGGTCATCTTGATAGTTAAGGACTCTTCTAAAGTGATTATTATGGAGAAACCATACTGTCAGATGTAAAACACAAAACTGTCCACTCTATTATGAAAAACTGCGTTTGAGGAAAAAAATGCAAACATAGTCACCAAAGAAAATGTGAAGAAGCATTTACAAAAGGAAACTAGAGAAGTCAGTAGTTTTGCCTTATCTCGCACAACTAAATTAAAACAGTAAAGCACGCCTGCACGCAGTCACAATGTTGGGGGGGGGGTGCAATTTAGAATACAAAGGTCTTCATTAGAACTGAGTCATGTTACTTGTTACTTGTATGAGCATCAAAAATGGTTTCCATGGGTGTTTATATTGCACAAATTACTTTTATACAAAGTTTATCAATCAGTATTTATTTTGGAAAGCTGCTGAAGATGTCCATTTTTCAAAATTAACTACACTGCAGATGTTTGGCATTAAATTCAATTTTGTGAGGCCCTTGACAGGATATTTTAAATAATGGTCATTCCCTGGAACTGAGAAAGAATTTGGAAAATATCTAATTTTGTAGTGAAATACCTAGATTGCAGATATTGTACTTTAAAAACGTGTCATTAAAGTTGGTATAAGTTACTACTTTCTTTTAGTCACCATTGGTACTTTAATAAATGTTGTAAGTGTTGAGAATCATTTTATAAAATGTAATTAGTCTAATTCTCCTTTATGTTCCTAAAGTCATAAAGAAGGAAGATAATTTACCACTGTGAATATTTTCATTTTTTTATCATTATAAGTCATGAATGATGTCAGAATTTTAAGAAATGGAAAGTCCAAATAGAGTTATTATGAATTTAAGTTATTTTAGAATTACTTCATCTATTGTATGATTGCTTTTAGTAAAGATTTGAAAATATAAAGAAGTAATCTTTGTAGTTTATATCAATAGTTAATATAAAATTTTTATACACTGTTAGCCTTTATATCTTCAAGATACTCATATAATGCCTTGGCTTTGAAAGGGGTTTGAAAACATCTTAGATGCAAGTATTTCCCTTTATTGTTACCGTCTCTGGTATCTACTCAATATATCACCCCACACCAGATTTTTCCTGGCATCATAGCCACTTGTGATAACAAATTACTCATTTTAAACATAAAGAGCTCTTTGGTTCGACTCTTTATTTCCTTAAGAAATCTTGATTTAGTGATCTGTGAATATTTGTCATTTAGACTTCAAGCAATTTGAATTTTTAACCACTTTGAGGGCTAGTATTCAGATACATTCTATTTCCTGCTTTCTGATTTTAAAATGTGAATAGAACAAAATACACACTGGAAAAATTTCAAACAGTACAGAGAACTATAAGATAAAAAGTATAAGTGTCTCTCCCCTCCCAACCCTCAGTTCCTATTCCCCCAAATATCCTGTTATTATTAGTCACATATCTTTTGAAAAATTTATAGAGTTGCAACATATAAACCCACATATACCTACTTCATTATTTGTAGTGGTTTAATACTGTCCCTCTGTATCGAAGTACAATGACTTATGTAAACAGTGTACGATTGGCAAACATTTGTGTTTTGTTTTGTTTTGTTTTACTATTTTTTTTTATGTGCAATGCTGAAGTGAACATTTGTGTATATAATTGCCTTGGCATAGTTTTGCAAATCTACTTGTCAGGACTATTGGTTGCAAGTGTAAGAAATCAACTCAAATTGTCTGAGTATCTTTTTGATGTGTTAATTTCATCTTGAATGAAGTTGAGCATATTTTCACATTATAAGCCATTCAGTTTTCTCTACTTTCATATTCTTTGCCTATTCCTTATTGAATTATTATCATTTTGCTGATTTCTTGTAATTATTTTTTACATGTGATCTTAGTTTTTCTTAATTGAGATACAGCTTATATACTGTAAAGTACACAAGCCTTTGGTGACTTTTTACACATTTCCCCTTGAGTATTTACCCAGGAGTAAAATTGCTGAATGCAGGCTAGGTCCTAATTTATCTTTAATAGATACTGTAAAGTAATGGTTGAACTAACTTACACTGCCATCGGTAATGTAGAAGGGTCCTGCTGTTTCAACACTGATAGTGTCAGCCTTTGAATGTTAGCCATTCTGATGGTTGTGTAACGGTTTCTCGTGGTTTCAGTTTGTGCTTCTGTAATATGTGACGGTTTTAAGTAATATTTAACTAATCCCTCTCGCCATTTTTGCTATTTTTGTCATATATCTTATTTCCATGTATTTCATAAACATCTAAAGTGTTGTTGTATTGTTGCTTATAGCAGTAAATAGTCTTTCAAATTTGCCCTTTGTAGTGCAGTCTATTCCTTCTTGCATCTCTGTGCTTCCATCTGGGATAATTTCCCTTCATCCTAAAGAAGTTTCTTGTCCTGTGGATCAACTCTGACTGCTTAATAACTGCTTTTTCTGGTATTCTGTGCTGTTATTTGGGGATGAATGTTTTTAACTTATTTGGAATTAATTCTGGTATAAGGAATGGAATGATTATCTAGCTTTTATTTTTCCCAAGGGGCTACTCAGTTGTCACAACACATTTTGGTTCTGGGTGAACAACCTCCCCCCCCCCCCCCCCCCCCCCCCCCCCCCGCACACATAAAATGTCACATTTATCATTCATTATTTAAAATTTTTTTTCAACGTTTATTTGATACGAGTGGGGGAGGGGCAGAGACACAGGGAGACACAGAATGCAAAGCAGGATCCAGGCTCTGAACTGTCAGCACAGAGCCCGACATGGGGCTCAAACTTATGAACTGCAAGATACTAACCTAAGCTGAAGTTGGATGCTTAACCAACTGAGCCACCCAGGTGCCCCATCACATTTATCATTTATTAATTCTCAAGTATATTTGTGTTTATTTCTGGGCTTCCTGTTCTTTTTCATTGACTATTCAATCTGTTTTCATCTGGTACCAAGTTTATTAATTACCATCAGCTACTCAATATGTTTTAATATCTGGAGGGCTGGATTCCTCAGCCCCACTCATTATATTTCATTGATATTCTTTCCTGAGCAATTTTTGTGTCATTAAGCTTTTGTAAAAAAATAATCCTGTTGGCATTTCAACTGTAGTTAAAAGTATTGAAAAGTATTATTACAATGGTATTTAGATGCCCAACATTGCCTGTCAATTTAAAAACGTTGGGAGGATGGGGCGCCTGTGTGGCTCAGTCGGTTGAGCGTCCGACTTCAGCTCAGGTCACGATCTCACGGTTCGTGAGTTTGAGCCCCGCATCAGGCTCTGGGCTGACGGCTCAGAGCCTGGAGCCTGCTTCCGATTCTGTGTCTCCCTCTC